AGAACAAACTAATCTCTAACATATCATATAAATTTTTCTATTTTTGTAAAATTTTGGAATGGTCATGTTATGCTTACCGCATGATATATAAAAACAATATTATTTTTTTCCTAAAAAACTCAATTTTAATACATGTTGACAACTCGATTGATACAATATTATCTTCAATGCCCAAAAATTTTTTATTGATTATTTTACTCTTATAAAAAAACATAAAGATTAATATGTCCTTTTGTATTTAAATATAAAAATTACTATTATATCTCTTTATATGTAAATAAAAATTATTCTCTTACATATCATACAAATCTCTCTATTTTTATAAAACTTTTAAATGGTTATGTTATGTTTAACACATGATATATAAAAATAATATTACTTTTTTCCCGAAATTCCAATATTAATACACGTTGACAACTCAATTGATACAATGTTATCTTCAGTGCTCAAAAAGATATATATTTATCTTATCTCTTCATTCACAATTAAAATAATTTAGTAAAAAATTATTGATGCACCAAGTAAAAACAAGAAAGACAGAAAAAAAAAATCTATAAACTTTACTACTTAATAACTCGAATAAAAGAATCATATAAAATGAGTTTATTAGATGTTAATAGTTATGAAGAGAATATAAACAATTTAAGTATGATAAATATGAAATAATATATAATGTAACAACATAATTAGATTTTATGTATTTTATTAAATGCTTCAACAAAAAATTTCACGTGCAATGCATGTCGTGCATTAGTAGTATGGTATAAGCGTGAACATTCATCAACCTTTTTCTTTCCTTTTTCAAAAAAGGAATATATGAAAAATTCAAAAAGGAAAAAAAATGGAAATTGAAATACAGAGTTAATTAATCAAGTGTTTGTTCAGTTACTTTCTCCTCTAGGTCAATTGTGTTGCTTCCGAAGTAATAGCTGGCCACCATGCAAACTTTGTACTAGAGTTGGCAATGGGTTGTCAAGAGTGTCACGTTGAGTCCTATCTTGTTTAAGTCGTGTTGTATCAAAATTTAGTCTAATTAAAATTCATTTGAGTAATGTTAGGTTTGTGTTGTGCAAAAAATAAGAAACATATTCGACTTTATGTTGTGTCGGTTGTGTGTTGGCCTATTTATTATTGGATCTTAGCATTCGAAATACAAGGGACTAAAACAGCATGAAAGTGTTTGATGACGTCTGGGGCCTAAATTCTAGTTCTAGAGAATGGGCTGGGGTTGGAAGTTGCTTCCCTGCAGATATATAAGCACCCCATCAACACAAATGAGTGTCCTTTACATTAGAAAATATTCCGAGAATCAAAGCTCACATCGAGTGTATAATGATGGACATTTTTGTAGAATGGATGGAGATTCTTATATGTTAAGTTCGAAAAGTATCAAGCGGCTGGGTTTTTTTAATCATCCAGCAGATCTAATTGATGGTAGGTGGGGCATTAATTGATTCAAGTAACTTGAATTTGATTTGAGTTCGGCTCAATTTTGATTCATTTATGTGCTCATTGATATTGCACAATAAATCGAATTTGATAATGTTTCAAAGTTTAGATTCAATCCAAGTAACAAATGCTTCAATCTCATGTTTATAAAAATGAACAAATAAAAACCTATCGAATGTTTATAAGCTTTTGGGATCATGTATATTTGACCTAGGATTTAAACTAGACAATCAAGTTTAAAGAACGATATCAATTGCATATATCGTTAAGTATATATTGTAAGAAGACCTTTGGGTCTGTCTAAGTATAATGAAAAATGTTAGATATACGTTGACCCAATTTTTATTTTTCTTTTATTGTTCTGCAACATGAAAATTGTTAAATATCATTATAGAAATCAGTTGAAGTTGAGTGACATATTGCTGCTGCTTAATTTTGATTTAATTTTTATATTCTCGAGAGACATAACATAAAATTTTGCAGATTATTAAACCATTTTATTAGATTGCATAACACGTCATGGATCCTTCTTTTTCTATTTCTTTTTAACAAATTAGACTTTATATTCATTGCGTTTAACAATTTCCATAGTCATTTGAAAATCATTGTAGGATGGCAATGAATTCTAAACTAAAATTATGTAGGTACCAATACCAACCAACGATGAATATTCCTTGATTTTGATTTTAACTTTTCATGAATCGTGCTAGTGTGCATTTTTGAATTTTGTATTTAGTACTGTATCAAAATTTATTTAATTCATACCGAATTTATTTATTATCGTACATGAAATTTAGTTGAGTTTAATCAAGTTATAATTAATCCGTTAATTTGTCAAGCGAATTTAGCATGTCAACTTTTTTATTACATGAACTTGTTAAAGACTACATGCACAGTGTTGATTGATAGTCATGTTAAGAATTATTTTCTATCTTAATAATGGTATATGACCCACACGGCAGATAAAGCTAAAGTCTTCCATGCCGCGTCAAAAAAAAGGTGGCCCACTATTAGGAATCTTTAGACAAACAATCAACTTGCCCTTAATGGGGTCTAGTGAGCGACTCCATAAATTGATTACTTTCCCCGACTTTCGGGTACAAAGAAAAATCAAAGTGATGGAAGACACCTAGCAAAGAACTATTTAACACGTGGCAACAAGTATTTACACTTATCATCCAAATTTTGGGTATTAAATTAATGTAAACCACTAATTTAATTTAATTTAATGATTTGGACTGTACCCTGTCAGTGGTCAAAAATCACAATTATAATTTTTTTTAATCAGATTTTTTGCAACAATGAATACAAAAAAAATAGATTGATGGATATCATTGATTCCCACCACTAGCATTATTACTATCTTTACCATCACCATTATCACCGTTATTGTCGCCATCCCATCATTACCTTCGTCACAATCACCACCGCCCCACCCCACCACCGCCACTATCACCATCCCATTATTACTTCTGTCACAATAACCAACGCAACAACCACCACCGCCCTCACCATCATCACCATCACCACTGTCAACGTTACCACCCCATCACCACCTCTACCACAACCCCCACCACCACCACTTCTGCCACAATAACCACCACCACCATTATCATCACTATCGTCACCCATCACCAATTGCTATCACCGTCGCCCAACGCCACTATTATCATCATCTCATTCTTATATTTATTACCACAATTACCCACCACCACCACCGTTGCCCACCTCTACTATTGTTGTCCACCATCTCCCACTACTACAACCCACCACCACCCTCGTCGCCCACCATCACCGTCGTCACTCACTATTGTCGTCACCCATTATCACATACCCCCACCACACCAACTACCATCACCACCCGTCATCATTCACTATCACCCACCCCCACCGCACATACCTCTACCATTGTCATTCGCCATCATCCATCACCATCGTCGCCCACCACCACCACAACTACCGTCATTGTCCCACCACCACTACTGTTAATCACTATCGCTATCGCGTATCACCACGCACACTTACCATTACCACCATCATCACTAATGACTGTCACTACTATTATTGTCACCCAAAAATCACCATCATCATCTCTGTTTGTCATCCACGGCTATCACCATCATTATTATTACCGTTCACCCTCACTACAACTGATGCTTAAATTATTTTTCCTCTTCTTTATGTTTATGATTTGATTTTGAGTGTGAATTAAAATATGTCTATGATTGATAATTTTTTTTCTTATATTGTATATTCAGACATGGACTATAACTAATTATAGAAATGATAAAAGTCTTATCTATTTTATATTTATTTTTTAAGTGACAGACTCATTTCAGGTGCATCCCCTAAACAAAGAATATTATAGCATATCTAACCGTGTTAATTCCGCCGAAACCCTATTTTGATTTAATAAGTTTTTTTGTTGACTGGCTTTGACTCAAAAAGCAATGCCTCACTTCATGCAAGACACGAACCAAATAATTATGAGGAATCTTATTTGCATTTAAATATTTGATATAGTTTATTGATATAATGATGTGATTTCATAAAATTAATTAATCAACACTAAATTCTAATAGTTGATGAAGTTTATAGTCAATCAAATGTTATAGTGAATTAGATCTCAATAACATTGCTCATATAAAATATCGTAACAAGTATTACCTATATCCAAAATTTGGGTATTAAATTAGTGTAAACCATTAATTTAATGATTGGGACTATACCATGTCAAATGAATATAAAAAAAATTCAGTCTCGTATTTTTAAATTTTATTACTTTAGTAAGTGTTTTTAATTTGGTCAATTTCGAGGAAACTCTTGTGAGACAAAAGTTTTTTCTTTGGGACCCTTACATCAAGTATATGACAAAGAACTATATGAAATATCTAATATTATTATTAGTTTCAGCCAAACTTTAGTTTTATTAGTTTCGAGGAAACTCTTATCTTACAATTTTTTCTTCTTTAGGACCCTATCATAAGTGTACGAGGGGAACTATATATAAAATATCTAATTTTATTAGTTTCGAGGAAACTCTTGATTGAGTGACTTATTATTATTTATTTCTTTGAGACAACCACAATAAATATACATCAAAAAATTGAATGGAATGTCTATTCTTGTTATTTTCTGGCAACAAACTATACGTAAACAAAACGAGGCCTTGGAGTAGATCAATAATTTAAGACAAATAAGTAGTTCTAAATGGCATTATTATTTATTCATATATGATGCATCTATATCTAACAATGTTTATTTATAGATACTATACAAGTCTTATCCAATTTATTTTTATTTTTGTTCAGTAATTGACTTTGACTTTTCAACTGACGACTCATTTTAGGTGGGCCCCTAAACAAAGAATATATCTAACCGTGTTGATAGGGGGGCCTTACTACCATCCAACAAATCACATCATTTGGGTGCTTCCTTTTCCAGAGGACCCTTTTCTGGCTGTCTCTAAAACAGATGAAATGAAATGAAATGAAGCCACAAAAGAAGAGTTAAGAGATAAGTACACCTTGGCTTTGCTTTTCTTTCTAGTTATGATGTCAGGAAGGAGGAGGAGGAGGAGGGGGGTCTTCTTGCTTGTAAGCCAAAGATTTCTTCTACTAATTGTATTGTGCGTAACAAGTAGGTGCTGCAAAGCCCAGCAAAATAATGATCAGAACTGCACTTCGTCTTGCGGGAATATCCATGACATACACTACCCTTTCCGGCTGGAAGACGATCCCCAGCACTGTGGTCTTCCCGACTACCAACTTGCCTGCAACAACAATCGCACTATACTATACCTTAAAGCTGATCCTTATGCAGGGTACGACTACAAATTCAACTACTCCTACTACGTGGAGGCAATCACTTATGACAACTTCTCGATTCGACTTGTTGATCCCGGTCTAGACAAGGATAATTGCTCTTCTCTTCCACTTCATTCTCTGCCATATACCGATTATTTCGGATTCTCCACAGCAGGGCCATGCTTTGGTGTTATGTTCACAAGCTGTCAGAATCCCGTAAATAGGAGTGGATATGTGGACGCTAGCTTTTGTGATAAAAGAAACACTACTTCCACCTCCAACACTACTTCACCATCTCCGTTGCAAAATCATAATTATGTGGTACGAGAAGGCATGGATATCTCAGAACTGGAGGACTCCTGCAGCATCGGCAATCTGGTTTGGACAACAGCAAATATCTTAGGGCCCGCGACGGAAGGCAACATTTTTTTTCAGACTTATATGACGGGCTTGCATATGGGTTTGAGCTTTTATGGTATCGCGTCTATTGTGGACAGTGTGAAGCAAGAGGCGGCTTTTGCCTTCTCGGATTTGAGGGCAATGTTGTCCATTGCTCAGGGGACGGAGCCAGAACCAACACCAGAACTAGAATCAGAAATATATTGAGAAATGTATTATTAGGTGAGCACATTTAATCAGCAAAATTTTAATTTTTTTTTCTCATCAATAAAAGTATTGTGGTAAAAATAGTTCCTTTTTTTTATTTACATCCTGTTGCATGTTTAAAGATTCATCAAATACAAAAAGGTTAAACACCAATATAGGTAGTCTATGCAAACAATACTCAATAAAAAAAGACTAATTATAAGCTTTTACAAAAAATGAGACTAATTACAATAAACCCCGACAACTGATAATGTTATTAATAATGTTATCAAAAATGTCTTTCTCTATATAAGTAATTAAGTTAATAATAATCAATTTCAGGCTAAATTTGCATAAATTTTAAGAAATTATAGCAATTTTAAACAATTACGAATAATATAAGATTGTAAGAAATTTGCATAATGTATTTCTGTTTCTCATATTATTTTTCCTTCTCATTTTTTTTTGCTGGGGACATGATAAAATTAAGTTATAAGTTTTTATCGTAATAAGGTGGTGGAAAGAGAAGTGTTTGGACTGGATTCTTCAAACGGGCTTTACTGAGCATTTTTATTTTTTACTCCTTCTTTCCCTGGTTTTAATTATAAGGTTTTCAGCAAGATGGAAAAACTCAAAAGGAAAATCATAGTCAAAGTCATAAATATATGGTATTTCTTAAAAGTAATGGCAGTAAATTATAATGTCATTTCAGTTTGTGTTAATGAGAAATAAAAAAGTTATAGTGTTACAAAATTCTGTTGCTAGTAATATCAACTAAACAAGATTATCAACTTACAAAACATGTCAGATCTATCTTGAGAGCACGATAATCTTACTAAAAATCTCCTAACTATCATAGTATCAAGTGTTTGAGTTTTTCTATTTTCAGTTCTAACATTTTTCATTTTGGTTTGCTGACATTGTTTATGTTTGGAAAATGTAGGCTTGCTTCAGTGGTTGATTTGTGAGTATTCTCTCTATTCTTTTCTCCTTTTCTTTCATGTTTATAAGCCTCTTCCTATAACTTTTTTAACATCTTATCTTTGGTGTTGCTCTCTTTTGGAATTTCTGACAGATGTTTTCACTCTAGTATACAAACCAATCGGTAAGCTAAGACCCTCAATGTAATTTTGGCTTGTATTTAATGTCAGATTTTCAAATTTCCCTCTGCTCGAAGGAAAATGTGACTCAAATTGGCATGTTTTTGATAAGTCTGACTTGCGATCGCATTTTAGACTGTTAAGTAAAATCAGCCCCTTTTCTTTCCCCCACCACAAAAAAAAGAAAAAGAAATCCATAAGAATCTTTCTCTTTTTCAAATTCCCGAATTCACATTAATTTTTTCTATTAAAATATGCGTAGGATGGATTATTGCAGCAAGGTCTTTCTGTGGGATTTCATTTCTTCTCGCATTTGTGGTATATAAATGGAGAAAGCTGCACTTACCAATTTATGACAACATTGAAGACTTCCTACAAAGACACAATAACCTCATGCCCATAAGGTATAGTTACTCAGAGATTAGGAAGATGACTAATGGTTTCAATGAAAAATTGGGCGAAGGAGGCTTTGGTACTGTCTTTAAAGGAAAGCTTCGAAGTGGCTCCCTTGTTGCGGTGAAGAAGATAGGCAAATCCAAAGCTACTGGGCAAGAATTTATCAGTGAGGTTGCTACCATTGGAAGGATTCACCATTTTAATGTGGTGAGACTCGTTGGCTTCTGCGCGGAGGGTTCAAAGCGCGCTCTTATATATGACTTCATGCCTAATGGGTCTCTTGAAAAACATATTTTCCCACGAGAAGAAAAAACCGTCTCCTTGAGTTGTGAAAAAATGTATAAGATTTCTCTCGGAGTGGCTCATGGGATTGAATATTTACATCAAGGTTGTAACATGCAAATCTTACATTTCGACATCAAGCCCCACAACATTCTTCTTGATGAGAATTTCATTCCAAAAGTTTCTGACTTTGGGCTTGCGAAACTATATTCAATAGATGATAGCATTGTGCCTTTGACTGCAGCAAGAGGCACAATGGGTTACATGGCTCCAGAATTGTTCTACAAAAACATAGGAGGTGTCTCATACAAAGCTGATGTGTATAGTTTCGGAATGTTGTTAATGGAAATGGGGGGCAGAAGGAAGAATTTGAATGCAATTGCTGATCGCCCAAGCCAAATTTACTTCCCCTCATGGGTTTATGATCGATACAGCGAAGGAGAGGACATTGATTTGGGAGCTACCACTGAGGAGGAAAAGAAGATGGTTAAGAAGATGATCATAGTAGCGTTCTGGTGCATACAACTGAAGCCTATTGATCGTCCTTCTATGCACAGAGTGGTGGAGATGCTGGAAGGAGATGTTGCACTCCTGAAAATGCCTCCAAAGCCTTTTCTAACTCCACAAGAGATCCCAACTGAGAATCATGAAATGAACAAAGATGTTGTAGAGTTACCATTGTTGTCAGGTAACTCTGTAGATTCTCTCAGTGCGGATATTGAAGATTGAGGTAATGCAGGTAGCAATGAGTGCATCCATAAAATAAATCAAGCCAACAATCCTTATCAGACTGAGAGATTGTGAGCAAAATTTCCCTTGTTTTGCTATGGTAAACATAAATCTAGTCACTTCATTTTATATTTTGCAATGCCTCTTCATGGCCACATGACATTTGAGTTTTAACATTTGTGCAAGCTTGCTTAATTGAAATCTAATAAACTAAAATGATTTCCCATCTATAGAGGTTATGGAATTATATCATGGTTGTTATATGATGATCAATATTTTAAGAGATACCTTAATATTTTCAAAATAACACTTTACCCCTCCAACTCATCTCTGTTTTTGGAAAGACCTTTATGGTTGTTAATGGTCCTTACATGTAAGGATAAATATATTGACATCCCTTATTGTTTATCTATCAATCCAGGACGATAAATTGTATCAACAAAGCATATCCAACTAATAATATTATTGTTTCTAGAACAACACTAAACCCCCATACTTTGGGATTGAATTTCCCTGACTTGACAAACCTGAAATTGCAATGGAGTTTCCTAATATCAACAGATTCATTGGTTTAGAATGTGAATAATAACCCTTGAAAATAACTCACCCACTACAGAAGGCAAGACCCAATACCAAACCCCATGCACAACTACCCATTTGCTTCCTCTTCCTTCCGTCCACAACCAAACGCGCGCCCACACACACATCTGAAAATCAAACGCGGCCGAAAATCAGGTGGTCCGCTGCCTCCACCTGCCACCAGTATCACCAATTTGAGAAATCGCACTCTTTCCTCTTTGTAGTAAAGATTTGACCAGCAAAAACAAGAATGAAAATATTTAGCAATAATCCGAACGTACACACATACACACATATTTATATATACCGGTATGCACACTCATATATCTTTATGCATAGATAAGGGCAGAGCCAGAGAGAGAGAGATCACTTGCCATGAAACATAATTACTTTTCTGTCTTATCGGCTTACACATCCAGTCCCAAAGGATTAGAAGCAAGTGAAAGGAGGGCATTTCAAAGAAAACCCTCCTATAAAAAAAAGTGACATAAGAACCTCATCTGCTGAAGAAAAACTAAGTTGATTGAGTTTACAATGGCAACGTGAACACTTGGGCAATACAAGTGAGGTATTTAAATAAAATTACAATGATTCAGTTGTAAATCAAATAAAAGAGAAATCCCATGAAATCTGGTTCTGGTTTTAACCAGAAAAAACAAGAATGGAAATATTTAGCAATAATCTGAACTTATACATGCACACACATATTTATATACCGGTATGCACACTCATATATATATGTATGCATATATAAGGACAGAGCCAGAGAGAGAGAGAGAGCACTTGCCATGAATCATAATTACTTTTCTGTCTTTTCAGCTCACACATCCTCAGCTCACACATTCAGTCCCAAAGAATTAGAAGCAAGTGAAAGGAGGAGGGCATTTCAAAGAAAACCCTCCTAGAAAGAAAAAAAAAGTGACATAAGAACCTCATTTGCCAAGATTCCCTCCCTCCTCCTCTGTTTTCCTTGTACCATCTGTAGAAATTATATGGTTGACAGACTAATTGGATTTCTTAATTGGATTAAGCCCTTGATATTCAAATTCTGGGCTGATTCAACACTTTCTGAAACTTATTTCTATAGTATAGTTTTTGTGTAACCCTACTATATATTCGTTTGAGGGTCCGAAGAGACCTTAATACATATGAACTTTATCAACACAAATGAGTGTCCTTGATATTGGAAAGTATTCTGAGGTTCAAAGGAAACAAAGGTCACATCGACTGTACAATGATGGACATTTCAGCAAATAAAATTGCACAATAAACTTTGATAAAAAAAATAAAATTGCACAATAACTCGAATTTGATTATATTTCGAAGCCCAGACCGAATTCAATTAACAAATGATTCGGTCACATGTTTGGATGTTCCAAGGATTTGCATATGGGATTCAATGTTTGGTAGATGATATAAATATATTTATTGGATTTAGGAATTTATATCAAATCGTTTTACTCAATTTACTAAAATGTTCATTATTATGGGAATAGAATAATAAATTTTTGGGTAAAGTAGTTTTTTGTCTTGAAATTCAATCTTTTGTTTTTGAAACCCAACTCTCATGCGTTTCATTAAAACCCAATGACTCCATTTGTGGGTTTTAATCAATTATTCACTACGGGTCAGGAAAGATTCATTCATCCTATGAATTGCGAGTCTCAAATCTTCACCCAAACATAGGTTTAGAAGGCGTATTGGACTATTTTCATAAAATTCAACCCTTTAATTCTATCCAAACCCACATACCAAACATTTCCTTCAAAATACAATACACTCCTGACTTTTGTATTACTTTGACTATACACTTGTAAGAGGGCAACTGGGACCTTTAAGCATACTGAAAAATGATTTTTTTTTTTTGAAACATGCAAATTGTGAAATACGATACACTCCTGACTTTTGTATTACTTTAACTATATACTTGTAAGAGGGCAACTGGGACCTTTAAGCATACTGAAAAATGATTTTTTTTTTTCCTGAAACATGCAAATTGTGAAATATCATTAGAAGGAAGTTGCCAAAGTTGAGTGAGATATTATTGTTGTTGCTTAATTTTGATTTTAAATTTTATATTCTCGTAAGACATAACATAGAATTTTGCAGATTATCAAATCATTTTATTAGATTGCATAGCAATTCATAGATCCTTCTTTCTTTTTTTTTTTCCCTTACAAATTAGACTTTATATCCATCATATTTAACAATTTCATAGTCATCTGAAATCTATTTTAGGGTAGCAATGAATTATAAACTAAAATTGTACTATAAGTACCAGGACCAACGATGAATGTTCCTTGATTTTAATTTTAGCTGTTAATGAATCATGTTAGTGTGCATTTTTGAATTTTGTATTTAGTATTGTGTCGAAATTTATTTAGTTCATAACAGATTTATTTATAGTCGTGCATAAAATTTAGTTGTGTTTAATTGGGTAATAATTGACCCATTTGTCATGCTAATTTAGCACGTCAACTCGTTTATGAAATGAACTTGTTAAAGACTTCACACATACATTATATGGTGTTTATTGATAGTCATGTTAAGATTTATTTTCAATCTTAATAAAGCTATGTGACCCACACGGCTAAGAAACTTGCATTTCACAGCTAGCATTTATATAGCATATGATAGTGACCAACAACCACCAACATTTCATCCACAAATCACCATTTGGCAACCCCAAAAAATCAAGTCACCCAATATCAGGAATCTTTAGACAAACTATCAACTTGCCCTTGATGGGGTCTAGTGACCCCATAAATTGACTACTCTCCCCAGACTTCTGAATACAAAGAAAAATCAAATCCCTTTAGGATTAGTATGGAATGACCAGTATTAATTATTTGGTCTTGGGTGACCACATAATAGAATACAATAATAATCTACATATATGGATAAGGACAACTCCTTCAAATTTAAAAGTCATATGATACACTTCTCTCAATTTTTGCAATGGTAGATCACCAATCAAGCATTGGTAATGGGAAAATATTATTGAAAGAAACTACCCTCTTGTAGCCTACGATTGCACTGCATAATAGTTGAATTAGGAAAATGATATAGAATCCCCAAACCACATCAATGGAATATGTGTGCAATGATGATATTAGAAAATATTATGAGATTCAAAGGAAACAAAGCTCACATCCAGTGTACAATGATGGACATTTCAGTAGAATGGAGATTCGTATATGTTAAGCTCGAAAAGTATCCAGCGGCTTGGTTTTTTCGATCAACCAGAAAATCTAATTCATGGTAGGTAGGGCATTAATTGATTCGGGTAGCTTGAATTCGGTTTTGGGTTTGGTTCAATTTTGATTCATTGAAGTGTTCATCGATACTGCACAATAAATAGAATTTAATTATGTTTCTAAGCTCTGACTCAATCCAAGTAACAAATGCTTTGGCCTCGTGTTTATAAAGATGAACAAACATAAACCTATCAAATGTTTATAAGCTTTTGGAAGTCATATTTGACCAAGGATTTAAGCTTGACAATGGAGTTTAAAGAACAAAATCAATTGCATACAACGTTAAATGTGTTAAATGTGTGTTTTTCAATTTTGTATCTATTGCTATGTCAAAATTTATTTAGTTCATACCAGATTTATTTGTAGTAATGTATGTAGTTTAGTTGTATTTAATCGGGCTATAATTGATCCATTTGACAAACGAATTTAGCATGTTAAATTGTTTATAACATGAACTTGTTAAAGACTAGACACATACAAACTTAGTGTTGATTGACAGTCATGTTAAGAGTTATTTTCAATCTTAATAAAGCTATATGATCCACATGGCTAAGAAGCATGCATTTCAAAGCTAACATTTATATAGCATATGATAGTAACCAACAACCACCGACATTTCATCCACAAATCACCATTACCAACACCAAAAAATCAAGCCTCCAATGTCTCGTCAAAAAAGGTGGCCAACTATTTGGGATCTTTAGACAAACTATCAACTTGTCCTTAATGGGGTCTAGTGATTCATTAAATTGACCAGTAATGCTCTCCCCAGACTTTCGGATACAAAAAAAAAACATCAAAGTCCTATGGGGGTGTTTGGCTAGCAAAAGGGGATTGGACTGGTTTAGATTTAGAAGACCAACACAATTCAAACCAATCCACGGCATCCCGCTAACATCTTGGAAAAGATATCCAATCCTTCATTTCGATACAACTTTAGGCAACTGTGGGCACCATGTGCCAATCAACTTGGGGTTGTCTAAGCAAATTGAAAAATGTCAGATATATACAGCAACCTGAATTTTTTTTTCCTTGAAACATGCAAATTGTCAAATATCATTAGAAGAATCCGCCAAAGTTGAGTGAGATATTGTTTCTGCTTAATTTAGATTTAATTTTTATATTCTTGTGAGGTGTAACATAAAATTTTATAGATTATTAAACCGTTTTATTAGATTGCATAACACATCATGGATCCTTCTTTTCAACTTTTTTTTTTTTTAACAAATTAGACTTTATATCCATCGTATTTAACAATTTCATAGTCACTTGAAATCATTGTAGGATTTTTTTTTGAGGGGGGGAGGGGGAGGGAGATGGGAGAAGGGAGAAGGGAGAAATAAGCTTGAACCCTTAACCTCAAGAAAGTAAAACTTTCACAAGATAAAGAGTTT